TAACCCTAACTGGAAGTTAGTTTTAATATTTTTAAAAATCTTGTTTGCTGGTATAAAGGGGTCTTAAGATGAAATTTAACTTCTTTTTAATCCCTAGATTCTGAGAAGTTACCTGACTTCTAAATCTAAACTATAAAACTTTTCTATTATCCTATGTTTCATTTTCGTGTAGAAACTGTTATGGGTATGAATATTACTTTCCTTGCCAAATAAATATAATTATAACCCTAACTGGAAGTTAGTTTTAATATTTTTAAAAATCTTGTTTGCTGGTATAAAGGGGTCTTAAGATGAAATTTAACTTCTTTTTAATCCCTTCTTATAGGATCAGATGACAACAATCTGAATTCCATCTTTTATGAACATTTAACTAGATCCCTGCAACACAGTCTCTGTGGTGATTTGCTACTAGGACGGTGGGGAAACTACAGTACAGGGGACTGTTTCATCCTTGCCTCTGACTATCTGAATGCATTAGTACACCTCATAGAGATAGGCAATGGTCTGATCACTTTCCAGCTGCGGGGACTTGAATTCAGAGGTAAGATATTCATTCACCTTTTTTTTCTTTAGCATATTCCTATGACATTTAAGTTTTATGTTTATATCTCAAAAGTTGTTATAAAATTAGATCTTTGAGGTTGTGGAGTGTGAAAAGTTGTTAAAGAGTAATTATTAGATTTTTCCCCCCCACAATTCATATTCTAAGAAGAATCGTTTTTACTATATGGCATCATGTGACTTGTTTTCCTGGAGATACTGAATTTCTGTTATAATTGTGTGTGTCCTCTTGCTGGTCCCTTTGTGGCCAGTGGCATAAATTTGTTAGATGGTTAGCAGCATAGAATGCTGAATTTTTGTGTAAGGGAGAGTAGTTAACCAAGTTACATTCATATAGACACCATACCTTTGTCCTCAATAATTTTGTTAATTGAAGTAAAATTCACACAACATAAAATTAACCACTTAAAGTTAAAAATTGCAAAGATGTGGAAACAACCCAAGTGCCCATCA